CTATGTATTCAGCCCCTCTAAGGCCACTGTCAGAATTTCTAAAAATTACTCTTCTTAAACAAATTGCTTGCACAATCCCAGACAGTATTTTATCCTGAGGGTGCTCCTAAATATTCCTGCTGGTGCAAACATGTGTTCAGATGGGCCAAGATTTCACCCATCATGCATGCAGGGCTCAGAACACCTGTACCTTGGTGGAGGTTACAGTGAGAGAGTACAGGAGGAACTTCTCTGGCCCCTGAGGGGGTGTCCCAGAGATGGGTGCTTCTCCACTCAGCAATGCACAGGAACCAGTGAGCTCCTTATGGGCTTAAAGTGAAAACATTTAAGCTCATTTTTGTAAACAGAGTCTTTCAAGATAAAGAGATTAAAAAATGTAAGGGTCAGTGAGCTCAAAGGGTGTGTATTTGTGTGTACATGTCTGTGCATGTGTGTTTTATCTGTGTATTATATATATAACTTTTTAAAAAATATATGAGTGATTTAGAGGAGTTAAAATTGCATAAACATTTTTCAATGGCTTCTGAAGCAAAATATAGTTTAATAAATGTATTTTTAGTGCCAGATGCCACTGGCTGGCACCTGCTTAGCTGACATCAAGTTTACTTTGTAGAATGGAGTTTTCTTTGGAGCTGAAGGAATTCTCTCTGAAAGAGAACCCAGCCCAGTTCTTCATAAATACACAACAGAGTCTTCTGCTGGGCTGAAGAGATCAAAGCAAGGCAGACCTCCACTGATTATCAGCTTCATAAACACTTGGTTTAACTTCATATCTATAGCTGGTGTTTTGTCACAAAAGATTTCAGAAATGTGTTCTGTTTCCACAACCAGATCTGAGCCATTGGTGTTAAGATGAGAAGATGTAACCAATGGTTCAATTGGCTGCAGTCAAATCTAGTCAAGATAATTATGGGAGAAGACATCTTTGATTGCCTTTCAAAAATTGACAATCAAGAAAGAAAATCTACCGACCAAATCTACCAAATTAGCTACATTCATCTCTTGAACTGAGGCTGGCCATGTGTCAGAAATCAAGCTGATTACAGCCGAGAAATATTCAAAGAAATAAACCCCCAGCGGGGATATGAGTGCCTTCAGCCAAAGGAAGCAAACGCAGATAATCATGGAAATGACCACTTCCAGTTCATTCCTGATAGGGAGTCGCTTCTCTGCTAGGTGCCACGTCTGAACAGTGTAGGGATTCTGAATTTAGGGCAACTCCGCAGCCCACTGGATGAGGACAAATGGTGCTTCAGCGAGGCTGGAATCTTTAGGCGATGGTATGTCTCTTCCTTCCACTGAGGGAAGGTGCTGGACGTGTTTAAAATTTTTATCCATTGTACCAAGAAGTGCAGGGGAAAGAATTTAGAACTCCGAAGGCAATGAGAGGATGGCCAGCCACCCGGTTCCGACAGTGGAGCTGAACCCAGCAGGGTGCGCACTTCCCCAGCCACATCATGATACTTAAACAGGAGGCTCATTTTAAGAGTGAGGCACCGTACACTGTGGGTTTCATGACAAAAGTATGTTAAATCCCTTGCTTATTCCCAATCACCAGGACCAGTGAATTGCATTCACTCTATTGTCGTCGTTGCCTGAAAAGAGCCACTTCACTGGCCTGAGGTCATGGCGGACCCTACTGGCCACAGTTCAGGGGGGACAAGAGCCAGGTTTTGAAAACTCTGGCTCTAGTGTTTCCTAGATTGTGCCCTTGGACACGAAACTGAGTGAGACTGAGGGAAATACACTGGTTTTATCGAACTGTTGTATTAGTCAGCTAAAGCTTTTGTAGCACTGGATGATACACAGGTGGCTTAACCAACAGAAACTGATCTTCTCCCAGTTCCGGAGGCCGGATGTCCAAGATCAAGGAGCTGTTAGGGCTGGTTCTGTCTGCAGCGGTGAGGGGCACCTGCTCCAGGCCCCTATCCTGGCTGTCGTCTCCCTGTGTCTCTTCTCATCTCCTTCTCTCTGCACGAATCTCTGTCCAGATTGCTCAGTTCTACAACAACACCGCTTATACTGGGTTAGTAGTCCCTCCCTAATGATCTCATGTTAATGCATCACCTCTATCCAGGCTCTATCTCCAGATAAGGTCACATTCTGAAGACAGGGACAGAGAGGAGGGAAGGAGAGGAAGGGAAGGGAGTTTGGATGGGGACCCAGGATCCAATGATGGGGAAGGGGGAGGATGACAGAAGATCTATGAGATCTGGCTTGGGTGGTTGAGAGAGGGCCCAATGATAGTAACAGCAGGCATTCATTACTTCATTTGTTCAGTCAACAAATATCCACTGAGCATCTTTATGCTAGGCACCATTTCTAGGCTTTAGGGCGGGGGTGTCAAACTTATTTTCACTGGGGCCCACATCAGCCTCGTGATTGCCTTCAAAGGACTGAATGTAATTTTAGGACTGTGTGAATGTAACTATGCCTTAACAGTTAAGCGAGAACTTGGAGCTGCCACTGGGTAGAAACAAGGTGCCAGGCCAGATAAAACAAGGTGGAGGGCTGGATTCAGCTGGTGGGCCTTGTGTTTGCCACCTGTGCTTTAGGGGTTAAAACACAAAGAAAAGAAAATACAATTCCTCCTCTCAGAGAACGTGCATTCTGGTGGGGAGAAACAAACAATAAAAATAAAATTTAAAAAAAGGTAAAATGTTAAATGTGTTATTAACGGGGGTTACAAAACAGGGCAGAAAAGAGGCTGGGAGTGCAGGGGGCTAGGTGGGGTCCAGCTTTAAACAGAGTGGTCAAGGCCAGTGGCATGAGGAGGGACGAAGGTGCAGGGAGGTGAGGAGTGAGCCCTGGGGAGGTGGGAGGGAAAGTGTGAAGGCCCACATTGGGACTCACTGCAGTGGGGGGCAGTGGGGGGAGCTCTGGCCCCGACTCACCCACCCCACTGTAAAAGATTTCGCTATTCAGACTCAGATGGGAGCCACTCAGGGTTCTGAGCCCAGGAGCGACATCACCACCCCGGGCTTGATCAGGCCATTCCTGGCTGAGAAGAGTCGGCAGGGGACACTGGCAGAAGCAGGGAGACTGGATGGGAAGCTCCTGAGACGGTCCAGGCCTGAGCTGGGGGATCCCAGCCAGGAGCCCAGCCAGGTCTGAATGAAAATACTGGCTCTGCCTTTATTCTTTGTGATTTCCCCTCAGTTTCCAAGCCTGTTAAATGGGAACACCACCTGTCACAGAGCAGTCCCAAGGATGTAAAACCATGGCCGTGGGCCTGGCCCAGTATGCGGTAGGCCCTTGGGGAAGGCCACCCTTATCCAGCTATCTGAGCCCCAGGACTTTAAACCCCTGCTTTCTGTGTGACCCTGGAAAGGTTACTTAACCTCTGTGAGCTGGTTTTTGCATCTGTGAGTGGGGTTGTGTAGAGATGTATGGATGTAGAATGTAGCTGAACAGAGAGTAGACATTTCTGCCATATCTGGAAAGTAAGGAGAGGGAGCCAACTCCCTGTCACAAGAACAGAAGCTGAATTTGCACTTGTTACCTCTGCTAACAAACTGACAATCACTGCATACTTAATAGACACCTGCCACTGGGCTGAGAAATCTGCATTTATTATTTGATGCATTAGTACTGAGCCTGCACGGTCAATGTGAGCTTACAGTGTCAGCTATCATCTCACTTCATCCTCATAGCTCAGCTCTCTGAGGTAGGAGCTGGTGCCACTGTGATTCCAATTCCCATTTTGCAGATGAGGAAACGGAAGCAGAAAGAAATAAAATCACTTGTCTCAGGTCACTCAGCTGGCACATGGTGGAAACCAGGCACAGGCAGTCTGAATGCAGAGTGCATGTCCTTCTGGTTATAAACTCAGTGTGTGACCTTGGCCAGTTCTTGCGCTGCCTCAGGGCCCCAGTGTTCTCATCTGCACAATAAAACCTCTCAGCTGACAGCCTGCTCTAACTGCCAGGCTCATGAGTGCACCATCCTGGGTGTTCTGGCTCAGCTGGCCCCTGGCGACCCAGAACTGGGAAAGATAATAGAATGGACTTATTTTGAGCCGTTTGTTATACAACAATAGGTAAGTAAAACAGCAGTGAGAAACAAATATCCGTTGGATGCCTGCTGTGAACTGGACACTGTGTTAGACACTAGAAGCAGCTCAGGATTTGTCTCTGGATTCAGAGCCTGATGGGGACCTTTAACTTCCTCCTAAATGTGGTCTGAACTGGCCAGGCAGTGGCAGGTACTGTCTTTCCAGGGATGGCCTCAGCAGCAAGGATGACGCTCTCACAGCTGGGCACAGGCAAGGCGGGCTAGCTCCCAAGCAGGGCAGCCCGGGAAGCACTGCACGTCAGGTACTCCTCCGTGCAGTATGCGTGAGGTGCCAGGGACCCCTCAACTGGTGGGCAGTGCATGTCCTCATGTAAGTGAGGATGGCATCCAGCTTTGGGGGCCTACAGGGGACAGGAGAAGAGAGGGTGTTAACAGGGGCAAGGGCAAGACCAACTACATGCCAGGGAGAGAGTGGTAAGGGCCGGGGGCAGGAAAGACTGCATGTTCTAGCCCAAATACACACACACGGGGCCTGGCAGGAGCTGCCCCTGCAGAACTCAGCTCTCCTGTCTCTGCAGCCTGCCCCTGCCCCACACATGTTCACCACGCCTCCTCGGCTCTTTCTGCAGGGGAGTCCTTCTTACTCCCTCACCCTTTCCTGCTGGTCAGTCCCTGCTTGTCCCTTGACACTCGTCTGGGTAGCATGCAGTAGGTACATAAGGGTTCTCGTCCTCTCATGGTTTTGGAGATCTGAGAATACAGAGCTTCCATAAAAACAATGTTTTCTTTTATTTTTAAAATGAAAGGGAGGCGTTTATTTTCTTAATTCAGTTTCACTTGGATGAAGCTGCTACCTTTTCCGCAGTGAGTCTTAGTTACATTAACATTATTACTTTTAGAAAAAAGTAATCTTGTGTTACTGATCTTTTGAAGGTAGTAAAATTGTATTCTGAAACATTGACTATATAAGAAACAAGCCAGCAATGTAATGCCCCAATGAATCCTGAAAATTTATTATTTGGGAGAATATCAGATATTGATCCTTTGTTTTACAGATCATGATAATAATCAGAAAATATAACATTTTAAAATGACAGTCAAAAGAATAATTACATATAATACAGACTACAGGTACTTTATTTGTACATAAGCAAAGCAGTACTAAAAGCACATTTATGTGTCCACAATGCGTGAACGTGGCAATTTTGTTTAAAGCTGCAGCAACTCAAATCCTCCTTGGGTCAGTAAGGAAAGACAGACTGAGAAATACACTTAGGGCTATCCCCATGTCTGGCTGTAAACCTATTTTTTAATCTTTCCCTTCCCCCCATATATATATATGTATATACTTTATTGCCTTTATATTTCTGCTGGTTTAATATAATTAGTATACTAAATAGTAATCTGCATTTATTTGGTTTCTAAAAATATATAAAATGCATTGGAATAGAGCTCCTGCAGCTTTCAAGCAGTCACTGTCCTGGCACCGAAAGCTTATTCTGGAAATGTAAAGCAGCAATACTGAATAAATAGTGATTGTTTTGTCTTCTCCATACAGCTGATGGCCTTCACCCAAAACGTAAAAATACTGTAGCAAATAGTATAAACATGCAATTAAAAATGGACATAATACAAAAGTAATACTTATGAGCAAAATTTTATACAATGTAGGTGAAGAAAGACAACTTAGCAGGTGGAAGAGGGATGTGAACACAGCACTGTTATTTACATATAAATTAAGGCCCGATTTTTCAAAGGCAATACACACAGGGAGCTGCCCACCTGCCCATCCCCTCTGCACACTGTTTGCTTTTTCCACATTTTTTCCTCAATCCATTACTATAGTTCTAATTTGGAAAGATGTTCACAGGAAAGATTTTAATAAAGTTTCTTGTTTTGCTCTTATTCACAAAGAAAATTTTCTTTTAATGCAGGTAAAAAAATTTTACTGATGGTCTGGACACAAATGCTTATTTGCTCTTCTTAAACATTGTTAAAATTCACATTTTACACCACAAATCCTATATTTTTAGCCTACCAGTCTTGTTTGAGCTCTAGTTTAGGACTAACTGTGATGAATTTGAACTATGGGAACTCATGACCTGTTTAGAGATGACTGGGGGAATTCAATGGGTAACTCCATGAATGCCAACCAAAGCCTCACATGTAAATTCCCTGTACATCAAGACAATGTACAAAGGCTAATAAACCAAAGTATCTCATAAGAACAAAAAAAGGGCTGCGGCGACTCACTGCGGATCATTTTGTGAGGATGACAGACACTCAAAGGGCCATGCACACTAGTGCTATTTCCTATTTCAAATTGCTCCTTGGTAAAAAAGAAAATCTTCTAAGGTATTTAATACTTGTAGAAAAATCACAATAAAAGAACCTGAAGTATAATAACAAAGAACTTGTCATCTAATTTAGTATTTAGAACCTGAATATTCCCCAGATGCAAAATTTGGTATTTGGCATGTTTGTATATAGCACTGCACCCCCTGCACGGCCGTGCGTCCAAAGATGTGGCCCTTCATCAAACTCATCTGTATTCACAATGGATAAAAATGATTAGGAATAACTAAAACAGTTTTAAGATGTTCCAAGGAAATGAGTTTTGAGTTATTTAAAAAAAAACTTAGAAAACATTCCTTAGAGGTGTGCTTTCAGAAGGAATAAAACTGATTAAAAAGCACAGCTGCTTAATGTGTTCGTCAAATTCATGTGTACACGCTCGTCTCATCTACGAAATAGTATTTTCATCTGTAATTACATCCATGAAGACTATTTGGCAGCCTGAAAATTCGGGTGACACTTTCAGAGAGGTACCCATGGCACTAGGCTGGGGAGCCCTGAACCCCTGCAAGGTGGGACCGCTGCCAGTCTCTCTTTACAGTTATGAGATCAGTGCTGGTAGCAGTTTACAGCAATTAATCTGGATATAGACTCTGTGTTTCTCATGGCATGCCAAGGCATCTTTTCAGTTTACAACTGCAAAGTTCAATATATCTTCAGTTTAGCTTTTTGATTTATATAGAATGTGATCAATTTATAAAAATATTTTTCCTTGTGAATAAGATCACAATTTCTCTGAATAACAGTAACAAAATGTCTTAGTATAGGATGGTACCCTTTAAAAATAAGGCATACATCAGGCATACATAAATCATTATTGTCACAAAATCTACAAATTATTTTGATTTTTTAAATTCTCATTTTTATCATATGTATATATGAAATAACTACTACAAATTGAGAGGAAATGTGTACAGGTTGTGGTTATTTAGGTAAGAACCATTTATTTCTCAAGTTATTTGAAAAGTAGTATAATGGCAAGGTCAACTCAGTAACTCCAAGAACCCAAAGAAAATAATATCTTTAGTTGAGGTCTGCCATTTAGCGGGGCTAGAAAAGGCAACTCTGCATTATTACGTTCAATTCTCTAGAAGCTTCTATATATTTTCACAGCCATTCTTATAATTTTCCATTGGAAACCTAGATATAGCAGCATTCTCAGCATTCATTAAATCAAAAGTAAGTCAAATGTGTGAAAACATCCAAAGCTGCCCTCATGCATAAGCTACAACTTACATCTGTTTACTGTCACCATGGCATTAATACACTAATCCACTGCTACTTCGTGGCTTGTAAATAATACAGAGAATATATTTTCCTCAGAATTAAAAACTATAAATTTCAGAAAAAGGTCTTACTTATATTGTACCAAATTTTGATCAGAGGGAATGTAAAAATGGCTGAGAGGTATCGGACCACATCCATGTGGATATTACTTGTGTTATTTTAGTTAAATCACTACTCATGGGAGGGGAGCTGACTTTTTGGTTTTATAAATAAGAAAATAAATGTACAAATGGAGATTAATGTCCTATAAAAGTCAAGCTCAGACATGAAAACAAACACTGATTTTAGCTTTATTTCCTTGGCAAAAAGTACCTAACTCCAACCCACTTTCTCTCTAAGTGATTGGAGAAATCGCCATAGTCCGTAATTTACAGAGTAAACCCACGGGTGCCTTACACCGAAAGATCATCCGAATGGAGTGGGTTACTCTCAGAACATACCACTCAAAGCGACCTTCCTGAAGTAGACTGGCCTGGTCCTCAGAGGCCTCTAACTTATGCATTACGGCAACTCTGAGGATCCACAGGAGTGAAGGGATAAGGCAGGGCAGAGACAGAACACAATGGTGGGCTAGGAACCGCCTGGCCTGTTTGGATAGTCCACATTCACATCTTTGTTCGACAGTGTCGGAAGCACTTCGAACCTTTTAAACATATACAAGTATCTCATGAAAATATTTCTGTTCTGCTATGTGACCATTTATATGAAAATACTGGAAAGAAAAGATTAAACTTCAGATTAAAAAGAAAACCTGAGTCATTTCACGCAACTGAACGACGTCTAGGACAAGTCACAAAATGAATGCGCGTGGGCTCTGCGGGGGGGGCTGCATCTGCCGGAGGAGCCCCCGTGGCTCTTGCACACCAGCAGCGTGCGGCGCGGGTCTGGCCGCGGGCGCACAGGGTCAGCATCACACAGTGTGTAATGTAATTCCGTCAGGAGATCAGTATTAATAACAAATGTTACGGCATCAACATTCACACATTAATTGATTACATGGAATAAATTAAACTAAGCCAGTCACGTATTTCTCTTCACTCTCTTAAGTCACGGTTTTATTTATGTATATACACAGTATAATACTTTCCTAATGCTCTCAAAATGCTACCAATAAAAATGAAGGCTTTGTATTACAGCTGTTGGATAAAAATGTCAACACTGTTGATGTGTGAAAACATAGTTTCTTTGTTCTTTAGCATCAGTGCACAGGGTATGGCTCCAAGTGGTATGCAATTTAGGACAAAAGAAAGATATGGTGGCTTGTGAAGCAGGTCCTCTGTTCATCATTGGCACAAATCAAAGAAAGAATTTTCACTGTCCCTGGAACTTTTATTGGGTCCCTTCCCAAAAGACAGATAATGTTATACATATATGCCTTCAGGGTTAAAGCCGGACGAGATGGGGTTCTGCAGGATACGAAGATTACTGGGGAGCTGCCGAGATGAGCCGGGCCGCTTCAGGGACCCTGACTGGAATGGTGCCTCTGGAGAGGAAACAAAGAGAGTCGTTTGAGGGACCTGTAGACCTGGAGTGCTGAGCGATATGAAACATGAGGATTTTTCTTGCCCTGAAGAATCGAAGAACGTGCAGTGACAGTTGCACACCCCTGTGGGCCCTGGGGTGACAGAAGAAGGCCGACTCTGCTGGACCCTCTCAGTTGACAAACCAAGATTTTGGTGATTTGAACCCTTAATGATCTTTTAAAGCAAGTGAGCAATTTTCTTCTCTTTTGTGGTTGTGCAGGCCATATCCATGCACTGATTCAGACGTGTCTTTTAAATATCAGCTCAAATGTATTAGTTTTAGAAGGGGGAGGAAGGGCATTATAAACAGAGAGAAACTAAAACTCAAACAGACTAGGTAGGACTCACAGACACTTCAGGAGAACAATATAAGATTTGGTGATATCAAGCTCATTTAAGTAAATAAATAACTTAAATGTTAATTTCCCCCAGAAATAAATACATCAAACAATTTTTTAAAATGCCCCAAGAATTAGCTTTGAATGGTTAGGATAGCACTTTTACTGAATGCAAGAAACGTATGCAAAGTTAACTGGTGAGAAGTGGGGGGAAAAAAGCAAATTTCTCAACATCTTACCCCTTTCTATGTCTGCGTGCGAGGCCTCCACTTCGATGGGCTCCGCTGGCAGTACGGTCACTTTTGTCCCTGTCTGCTGGATGAACTGCTGGAGATTGACCTGCCGCAGCTCTTTAGTCAACTGCTCCAGTTCCTGTTCTTTGTCCTAGATAGAATTATTTTTAATTTGAGGACTCAGTATTGGCCAGCTAAAAGGCATCCTGGTGACAGTCCATCTGCTCCGGGGGTTAAGTGTGGGGTACTCGGTTTCACACAGACGCATTTAACAAATCTGGCTTACAGCAGCAATGCCGTGGGCTGAGGAGGTCACTCTCGTGTGTCATGGGTCAGAAAATAAGCAAATAAAGGGCAGTCTGGCCTCTTAAATGTGATGCTTTCTTCAATTAGGGATACACTATGCACCCGGTGAAATAAGTATGATACGTCAATAAAATACTGGTTTCCAGCCATTCCAATGTTTCACAGCAATCTTGCAAAGCTGTTAACAATTAAATTTCCCTATTACCCACTTCATAACTGGCGGCAAAATGAACAGTCATTTGCTCCATAAGATTCGGAGTTCTTGTGTTTTGTAAACTGTTTAAGTTCTCATGAGATCTGTGACTGAGATTTATAGCCCAGCCTGAAGAGAGCAGGGTTCCCACAGCAGTCTCACTACGGGGTTTTAAGTCTTTGGAGAGGGCAGTTTCGAGAACTGCAGAGCCCTAAAGAAAGGAGATCAAGTTTGGACAGCTGGAAAGGTCTAAGAGCAAGGAGAGGCATTCATTCTATGACTTAAATGGATTTTTCTCCTCCTCCTCTCCTTTCCTGCACTGTAAGAAAAAGTGCCAAGGCCCCACCTCGGCTGTGTGTCTGAGGACCGGCAGTGGCAGGGAGGCACTGCGGAAAGAGGGGTTGTTGACTTTGAGGGAGGGAATCCATGGAGCTATGCTACTAGTTTGATAAGGTATCTTTCACTAGGAAATGGGATTTACTAGCAATGATTGTGATAAATTAGTGTTTCCTATCAATCTCAAAGGCAACACAATTTCCAGTTGTACCCTTAAGTATCAAAATGAATCCAAAGACCAAAATACTGACAAATCAGAGGTTAACCTGCTGAGTGAGAAATTCCTGATTTTCAAAATTGGAGAGGAGGATAGTTTATCTTTTACTATATATAATGACAGAGAAACAACACCAGTTCTTCCTGAAACCTTAGGTTTCTCTGCTTTCTGAACAGTTCACACTCTAAAGCAGCTCTTCTCAAATTTCAGTGTTTGGAGATCTTGCTGTAACGCAGATTGTGCATTTCTAACAAGTGTGCCCCAAAGCTGCACGGCTTTGAGTGGCAAGCTTGCGAACCAGCACCGTCCAGTACAGCAGGCACTGGGCACGTGCTGCAGGGCGCTTGAAACGCAGCCAACAGAGACTAAAAGCAACTTTACATTTATGTAATATTTGTAAAGTGCTTTCCTGAATATCATTTAATTTTAATCGATTTAAATTTAAGTAGCCATGTTATGATCAACTCTGTCTTTCTCACATCAACTCTTAAAGCCTGATACCTCTTTGCAACTCCCGTAACATCGCTACGTCTTCTTTTCAAGCATGGGAATCCACGAAACGGAAGCTGAGTGATCAGAGTAGATGTGATGAAATACTAATGTTCGTATACTCAGACTTCAGAGAGGGAAAACACCAGGGAGGGGCCTTTGTGCCCCTCTGCTAAGGAAAGCAAAGGAGGGGACCCTGGGCAGGGGAGGAGGGAAGGGGAAGAAGATGGGCTTAGAGACAATGGGGCAGTGAACGGACAAGCAGCCAACTAGCCACACAATCCTCGGTAAACCAATCCTTGGTAATCTCTTTTGGCTTTGGGTTTCTCTGTCTCTAAAAGGAGGAGATCAGATTCTCTATCTCATCATTAGTGTCCATTGCAGCTGGGATTCGAGTCTCCTATGTCCAATTATCAAATGCTACAACTGCCATGGTAAGACTGCCCCTTCCAAGGAGCAAGAATCACTGTGCCTTTGGCTCTCATCTTTGTTTTGGCCTCACATCTAAGCTTTATGGTAAGCCACAAGAATGCTTAAAAAAAAAAATAAACCAAGGAGGGTGTCTAACTTTAAATGTAAGAGAAAAGGGACAGTCACTAGCGATGTCAAAAACATATTAATTCTCTTAAATACAGATGAAACATGCTCTTTATAAAAGTGTTCTTACCTGTAATCGTTTGGTGGCCTGTCCAAGAGACCTTTCCACAGCTTTAATGCCATTTTCCAGCCTCAGACTCTGCTGGCCTTGAATGTCAATTTCCCCTTTGACCTTACCGATTTTTCCTTTAACCTCTTCTTCATTGACTTGTGCCTCCTGGACTTCCCGTTGCAATTTTTCTGCCTCAAGACCACTTTCCATAGTCTGGATCTGGGCCAAATAGTCCTTTAATTTGCTCTCACATTCTGTTATTTTCTGTCTTATTTCTTGAAGTTGATCCTTCAGCTGTTTTTCATTTTCCTGTTCAATCTGTAATTCATTTTCCCAAAATTCTTCCTCTTCAATTTCTACATCATTTCTTTTGATCTTTTGCTCCAGGCGGGCAATTTCCTCTTCAAGGTTAGAATTATATTTTTGCTCCCAAAATCTTATTTCTATTTCATTTGATTTTAGCTCTTTCTCAATGGATTGAAGCTTCTCTGTCTGCAAATGGATCAGCTTCTTTAACTCATCAGCCGTTGTTTTGCAGTTATTCAGCACCTTTTGCTTAAATTCAGTTTCTTTACCCTTTCCAAAAATTTCCATTAATCCTTTGGCACCTCCTGTAAATGTTAATGACTTCCTTTTAGGTTCTCTCCGTTTGATTGATTTGTCAATCTGAGGCCTCAGTTTAGCTAAGGGGGGCAAACTCTGCCTGTATAAAGTTCTTTCAGGAATTCGAGCCACACTGTCTGAAGTGGGTCGCTCACTGAGAGATGGCCCCGTCCGACGTAAAATGAGCTGTACATCACTAGCATACTGCCCCCATTTGTTTAAGGATATGATGGGGTTTTCGTGAGGTGCCAAATGTCTTTCGGTATCTCTCCATTTTTCTATTAGAGTGTACCTTCCAGTTCGACCTAGATAAAGAAATAAGAATAAACTGTCAAAACAGCACATGCAATAGCTAAAATAATCAAACAGAGGGTGCTGTTTGAGAATCGTGCCTTCTTGATTAGCATCAAGGTCCAGCCCATGCTGCCTGGGAAACTTGCAATTGAAGGGTGAACTCCTTAAGATATTTAACAGCACAAATTTATAGGACACGAATTGCATATACTCTTCAGACTTGCTTAGAAATTCAACTTCATACTTAAAGCTTCAGTGAGAATCTCACACTTCTGTCAAACACCTGACTGCCTAGATCTTCTTGCTTGGGGCAAGACCTCCAGCTCAAACAATGGAGGACACTAAAATGCCCCATGCAAGTGGGAGGGCCTGGTCCCAGGAACTAGGTAGAGTTTCAAAACCTAAACAAACTTCCACTTTGTAAATCCTCTGCTTTCTTTGCACGTCAGGACTTGGGGAGGCTGGAGGCCCATTTCTCCACCTGAAAGGAGACAGGAAACCAGTGGGGAACCTGCCACTCAGCTACTAGGCAGCTGGACAGGTCTTTCCTCTGTCTGTCCACGAGAGCTTGGCAAACACCCAGTGCACATGGCTGGTATCTTCCTGTACGCCTGTGGCAAATAAGAAAAAAAAATCACCTCACTAAAAATAATGCTTCAAAGTAATTTCATATACAAAGAGGGGACTGAAGAGAAGTCTTGTTCAGTTTAGGTAGTAATAGTTCAAAGATTCTTCTGAAAAATTTAAAAGACAAAAATAGTATTAAAAACAAAAACAGAATAAAATCACATTTTAATAAAAAAATACTGAATCTCACTAGTAATTATGGAAGATAAAGCTTCTGAAGACAATATAATGTCATTAGTTTGGACATACTTCCTCAATATTTCCACTTAAGGTGAGTAGTTCGGATGGATTATATTAATTTTGTTAAAAGTGTCCATTAGACACCTGAAACTAATATAATGTTACATGTTAATTATATCTCAATAACAAGAAGTATCCATTAGTAGTTAATATTATTACAAAGAGAAAAACTGTTCCTGCCATCTAGCAATTGTAGGTTCTTGTTTTTTAATCCTTACTGAGGAGGATATGTTTATTGACTTCAGAGGCAGGGGAAAGGGGGAGGGAAAGAGGGAGGGGGAGGGGAGACGGGGAGAGAGTCACACACATACACACTGACGTGAGAGAGAAACATCAACTGGTTGCCTCCCATACGTACCCCAACCAGGGACGAACCCACAACCTTTTTGGTGTGCAGGATGATGCTCCAACTAACTGAGCCACTTGGCTAGGGCTTCCCTGCCTTCCTTTTCAATTTCATTAGCTTCTGAACCAACTGTAAGTAGTATTTTCTCAACTACTGTCTCATTAAATGGAAATTGGGATACATACATACAAACACCCATGTCTGCAATTCAGAAGCAGCACATGAAAAATGGTACTACTTTGAGCACATGAAGTGTTGTCGTTTAAGGAAACCTGAATTGTAGGCGCAGCTGAAAAGTTGGAGCTTTGCAGGAAAACAGACTGGAGTCCTAACTGCAGGTAAATTACTTACTGGAAGTAGCATAATTTTACTTTTATCTGGGGATAGTAGCAGTACCTTACAGGCTGTAAGAGTCAGAATCCAGTGTAATAAGCACCTACCACAATACCTGGCCCATGGTTAGCATTCAGTACATGGTAGCCAGTAAGTATTAAGGACACTGTTATTCACATAACAAAAGGCTGACCAGAGATCTCCTTTAAATAGGGATGTGACATGACATTCTGACTTAAAAAAAATCCTTAAGCAACTCTCAGGAATTCCCAACTACGTAAAGCTGGACAGAGTAGAGAGGAAAAAAGCTCTGGAGTTCAAATCTGCCTCTGCCATCTATTTACATGATTTGCACAAATTACTGCATTTCCTTTAGCTTCGGTTTCCTTATCAATAGGGTGAGAGTATTTTCTTACCTGATGATGTTGTTGTGAGAGTCAAATGAGATGTCAAATAAAAAAATGTTTTGTAAAATTGAAAAGTGCTACACAAATATTAGTTATTATTATGATTATTGAAAATACCTGGGCAAACAAAGGGAAAGAAAAAGAAAACTTTAGCATACTAGACTGGCTTCCTAAAATTAATTGGTTTCTAATGATTTTCAGGTTAAAAATTACCGGAGTCACCACCCCAAGAAAAGCCACATGACACATCTGCAAGGTACACGCTGCTTCACAGATCACGGCCCTCTGTGTTCTTGGCCCCACGGCTCTGTAACTACTTTCAGGCTCCCTCCCCTGCCCCTGGAGCTCTGTGTCTCATCGGTGATGTGAGGGGTTAGACTGGATCAGTAGAGGCCCCTCTAATTCTATCAGGGCAATAAAGTATCTTTAAAAAGAAAACTCAGTCATTATATTATACAAGCTAAATTAAAAACTTTAAAGACTCTAATTTAGTCGTAATTAAATATAAAGCTGATTTTTCCAATGCTTAGTGGTATGCTGCCCTCTAAGAATGTCTTGGTAGAAGATTATTTAGAATTGCTTTTACTGCCAGTTTCCCCTTTTTGTTAAATAATGCATATTTAGGGCAATTAGGCAAAAAGAAAGGAAAAAATCCATTCAGCAATATGAAAAACATTTTTTTTAAAGGTGAATGAATTAACAGCTTTAAATTTTGTTACAGAAATTGGCTTTTAGGTAGTTTATGTAAAAATTAAATCCCATAATCACTTTTAAAAAAGATTTTATTTTTAGAGAGAGGAAGAGGAAGAAAGGGAGGGAGATAAACACTGATTGGTTGTCTCTTTCATGCCCCCAATGGGGGACCTTGCCCACAACCCAGGCATGTGCCTTGACCTGCAAATGAACCAGAGATATTTCGGTTTGTGGGACAATGCCCAACCCACTAAGCCACATGGGTCAGGACCCATAATCATTGGTTTTAATACCTGTCCTTGGCCAGGCTGTACAGATCCTGGTTAATTTAGATAGATTCAAATTTCTCCTGCAAAACTCCTTTTAGTACAGTTTATTAAATGGATACATTTAATTCTACCTTGCATACTACCTTGATAGAGCCTTAAAACTAATAAAAGGACTATCTGTGACATTTGTAGTTTAAGCCACTTTGGTACCTGGACCATGTGCCACATTAAGTAATGATAAATAAAATGCTGACTATATTTTTGAATAGTTGAAGCAACTAAGTATAATCCCAAGAACCATTAACTTCATATAGCCAGGAAAATCACACATAAAGAGATTCTTTCTGCACTAGTGGAATCTCACTGGATGTCTGACATAACTTAAAAGGAAGTAAGATAACAGATTATGCTCATCCAACTTAAAGCAGAATATATCACAAATAAGTAATGTATATATTTGAAAACATATATCAAAACTCAAATATGGGTCCTCCAGAAACATCATTCCCTTATTTCAACCATTTTCTTTTTACTACAACCATTTTTCCAAAACAATTTTTGGAAATTTCTCCTTAAAACCGAAAAACCAAAATCATAATTTAAAAGTCACATCTTTTTATTTATTCAATAGATAGTGAACAACAAATATTTGTCTAAAACAGTGTCAGACCCTGAAAATACACATTCTATTAAATACCCTGATCATCAACCCTCTCCATAAGTTTTAGTTTTGATATCCGATTTTTTTCTTCAGCATGAAATCCTCCTTCCCCCAAAGATGAATACTAAACATTATTCAAAAGTACATGACAGAGAGCTGGCATGAGTCTCTCATGAATTTAATGCTATTGTATCTTCTTGTTTCTGGATATACTGGAAGTAATGCCAGTAACACCTTATTCTTTATCCTACCCCACTGAATTTTTCTGATAATAGATGCTTTGCTGAGCTATAAAAATTTTGATTCTTCTGCACACTCTAGTGAACATGACTAATCCTTTCCATAATCATTTAGAATTCTTGCAATGAGCATTGATTTGTGCAACAGAGCCTGCATGGAATTATTTCATAGTCTGTTAAATGCCTCTGGTGCTTTTTTATACAGAACATATGCAGTCTTAATTGGTTCTGTGAGTTAAGCACCATAGGTATTATGATCCTCAACTTGCCAGTGATGAAATAAAAACTTAAAAAACTACAAGTAATTTCTGGATGATATACTGCTCTCCTGCATACTCATGAATGAATCTTCTGTAAGTCCTGAGTGTTGCTATTATGATAACTCTTACTGTAGAGTATTTATCTTGTGTTGACAGTGAGATAAAATCTCTCTGACTATAACCTGTCAGCCAGCTGTGTCGTGAACCCAAAGTTAATTATTCACTGTGTGTTTTCCTGGTGTGTTGATAAGAGTGCTATGGAATCACAAAATCACTGCACATTAATTTAGGACACACTTAGGATTATATGATATGCTTATTACTATTTAATAAAAATATTTATTGATTTCATAATCTTAACATTTACTAAGACTACTATTCGATGCATTATATTGGTTACTTTTTATAAATAACGTTAACCAAAATAATAGCTAACACTATAAACCACTAAGATTTGGGGGATTGTTAATGCAGCATAATCTAATCATGAGCGACACAGGCTATGAATTACATGTTCACATTCATTAAAACTAAGAATGATTACTTGTAATCAAGAGATCAATGTATGTCTTGTATATCAGTGTTTCGCTCCCTCTCTCCCTCCTTTCCTCTCTCTCTAAAATACGTAAATAAATAAAGTCTTTGAAATATGTTCTTTTCCTTTTCTTCTAAAGCACAGGTGGCAAACACAAAGCCCGAGGGCCGAATCCGGCCCTCCACTTTGTTTTATCCGGCCTTGTTTCTACCCGGCTGCAGTGCCGAGCTCTCGCTTAACTGTTAAGAAGCGGTTACATTTATACAGTCCTAAAATTACATTTGACCCTTTGAAGGCAACTGCGAGGCTGATGTGGCCCCTGGTGAAAATGAGTCTGACACCCCTGTTAAAGGATTATATAATTTTAGAGAAGGATGAGACATTAGGTGGCCACCTAGTTCAGCCTGTAGCTTAAAGAAAAAATTCATTAATTTAGTCACAAATATGTACAGCGACTACCACAGGCCAGAAGTGGTCTCAGGCTGTGAGAATAAATGAGAACAACACAGCGAGGCCACTGAGAACACACACAGCTGGAGCGAGGTCCACTGTCCATGACCCAACAGCTTTTAGGCCACATGTGCCAAAAACTCAGAACTTTTTGGGTTTAGGCTCTCCTGCAGTTCTATAATCAAACATTAAAATTTCTAATGTAAAGTGTATCGAAGTTCATACCAAATGGAATAAATATAGATGAAAAACAGCCTCACATCAAATCAGATGAGTTTTTACCCCCAAATGAGTTCAAGCCATGAGAAGTATGGCTGATAAATGAAGTGTGATAAACTTCAGGCTTCCAGAATTTTTTAGATTTTAAGATGTGGATAATGGATCATGGCCGATACGGAATATGTCAGGTGGATGAGTGGTATAGAGAAAAATAAGAGTATGGTAGGTAGGGAGTGTGTGAGTGTGTGTGCATGGACACGTGTGGGGGGGGGGCTCTGTGATATTGAGGCAGAGGTCCAAGGGAGAGGAGTCTGAAGATAGCTGGGTGCGGAGAGTGTTCTCAGCAGGGAAAAGAGCAGATGCAAAGACCAAGGTGGTAATGTGTTCGGTATGTTTCAGAGGGGTGACAAAAGTGACCAGTAGGAAATCAAGCCAGAATGGTGAGGGGGTAAAGTGGGGATTCATCTAGGGCCCTGGGGACCATTGTATGGACTTTGGAATTTGCTGAGCGTCAGGGATCCTGAGGGGTTTTGGAGAGAGAAGTGATATGATGCAACTATTTTAAAAACAATTACTTTAAACCTGTTGAGAATATACTGGAGGGGACTGGGATGCAGGGATGCAGGGAGATAGGTTGGGAGTGGTCACTGCAAAAACCTAAGTGAGACGTGATGGCAGCTTGCACCAAGGTAGTAACAGTGATTGTGGAAAACAAGAGCAGGTTCTTGATATATATTGAAGGCTGTACAGGTAGGATTTGTTGATTGACTGGCTGAAAAGTATTAGAGTAAGAAAAAAAATCAAAGATCATACAAAGGTTTTTGATCTAATCAATTAGATGAAAAGACTTCTCATTTGCTGGGATGAAAAGGAAGAAACTTGAGGGTGGGCAGTGGTTGGGACACAGACCTTGAATTTTGACATTAAGTCTGAGATAGAACTGTGCCATTTTAATGTCTATTTTAGTAAATAGACATTAGTCACATTTAATTACAAATTTAATTTGTAATTTTTTACAAATTATTTCCTCAGTTATACTAGCTAACTTCAGGCACTCAATAGCTTCATGTGGTGCAGTGGCTACCATATTAGCACAGCGAACATTTCTATCCTGGCAGAAAGTCCTACTGGACAGCACTGTCCTAGACAGTGTTTTGCTGAGCACCTTCTTTAGGAAAAGCAAGGGTGTAAGCAAGGTAAACAAGCAGGACCCCTCACATCGGAGGGACTTCCACAGAACAGAAAGAAGTGTTAAAAACTGACACTAGAGTTCAGAATAAAATGTGTCTGGAAGCTGATTTTGTTGGGGCAAACTGTATGTAACATGGCTTCTTCGGAAGAAGAGTGCACTCCACCCTGGGCCCTTGCCTCAATCAATTTGTTCCTATTAAACACTAGGTCTGGCCCCCGTTGAAGGAGATATGGGAACAAGATCACGAGCTGTGAGAACAGAGAACAATTCTGACCCACTGGCACTTTAAGGGGCAGCAGGCACCACAGTAGTGTGAAGCAGAGAACCTCTCCCTCAGTCTCCTTGATGTCTTCCTCCTCCTTTCCTGCTCTCTGGACTTTGGTGAGCTGTGCTTTAAGTTCTATGCTACTTGAGGGCAGAAATATATTCTTTTCATACTTTTGGTCTGGCCTACTACAAAAGCAAATGCATTTGCTCGACTTTAACTTGGGACACATGGTCTGCCAAAGGCTTTCTGTTTAATATACAAATTTGAGAGGCAGTTTGAACTCTGAAATAATGACATTTCTTGGGCAGTTTATGGAGGAAACGAGTCACACTAGTTGATAACGGGAATGTTTCGGAAAACCAAAGGTGTAGGAGGACCAAACACACACAGTGTGTGCTCTTGCTGGGCAGTTCAACCAGTTTGAGCCAATTAAGTGTTTCAATCACGACATCACTTTTAGTTATGGTCCCTTACAATTTCAGAATGTGTTCTATTTCTACCACTTAAATATGACCTGTCAAGGCCGTCAAAGATCAGAGGAGACAGTATTCTTTCCAACTACTAGATATATTAAACATCGTTTATCAAATTGTGTTGGCTCTAATTAGATTGGATTGCTTAGCAGCACTAAGTTAGAAAACGTTAGCAGTCATATTTGCAGATTGCCAACTTGTGTACGTATTTTTCTATCTTGATGGTTCCTAAAGTAGTTTTAGTTTTCCAAAAAAACCTAAATAATCAATAATCTCTAATCCGGAATGGAAACATGCAGTCAGTCCATACTCTGCTGAGAGTATACCTAAACTTTCACTGTTCAAAGTCCCCCTAATTAATAAACCCTCTATTATTTCTTACAGTAGAAATTAGGTCAAATACTATAAAATTTATTTAGTGTTTCGACTAAATACCAATACATCTCATTACAAGACAGATAAAGATTTAAGCACATATGAGAAGCACACTGAATTTGACGCTGAGAAAATCTCACAGCATGACAGAAGCAAGGATCAACAGCCCTTGGCTGGCTGCCCGCTGAGTCATCTCTTTGATGAATTCTGAATTCAATGAAGTATTTATGGTACAGAAAAAGAGTGTGGGGAAGTATCATAAAACATCCATATTTAAGTTGTCAACTTTTCAAAACAGGTCTGGACTGAGTTACTCAGGAAGCAAAAGGGGGGTGTAGACTTAGTTAAAACTTCTTTTTAGGTTGTTCACAAACAAGTATACTCTTTAGTCCAAGTGGGGAAACACACGCCTGGCGCGCCCGGGCACTTTCCCTTTGCAGTTCTGTGTGGAAACTGTGGTCCCCACACAGACAGATGGCTTCCTCCTGCTGGCTTCCTCCATTACCTTGACTTTTGTACTTTTGTTGGTTTGTTTTTACTCCTGTCTGCGGCTGGATTCTCAAATATAACAGTTAGATTTTGACACTTGCTAATCCTAGTTTTCACTGAGCAGGGAAACACACACATACACACACAGTGCTGAATATTTAATTCAAATAAATTCTGTGAAACTTTTAAAAGAGACAATTACTAAAATAAATTGTGCAAATGATATTAAATAAAATGAAATGACTCAATTCTCCCCTCTTTAATAATTAAACTTAAGTCCATAACATAATATTAGTCCCAACAGCAAGAACGTTTTGTCGGATGTGAAAGCAGGAATCTCAGCACTGTTTGATGTACGAGCGTGCTATACGGCATTTATGGCGAAACCAAAAGGAAGCCTCTACCTATGTACAGGGCACTCCCAGCCTCCAACAGTGCATCTGCCACAATGCAGGTGGCACGACTGCTTCTACAAAATGCCAAGGTGACTTGTTTCAATCCTGAGCTAATCTGACATGCCTCCAATATAAATGAGCATGACACAAAATAAACTCTTGAAAAGAAACTCAAAGACAAAGAGGTACCAGGCACGTAGCATGGTGTGAAACACATGAATTCCTCTCACCACATGCTTGGTAAGTAATGGATCTGAGATGCAAACGTAAACTTTAACCCACATTACTGCTGTTACTGATGCAGGTGTTTATGATGTTATCATGTTCCAGAGGGATTTAAGGCAACTAAAGAACACACATAAAATGTGATACGGGTAAACAGGGAATAAATAAGAAAAGTTGCAACGGGGTAATTGAATAAGATGGAGCCAGTAAGCACACATGTGACAACTTCATCTTCTCTACATGATAGTTTAAAAGTATACCTTATCTTTCTACTGAAGAATGATGTTATTTAATTTGCTGTATTCTATTTTCTCAAAGTATATAGAATAAATAGAAGTTAGGATTTCTCCTAATAAGGGGTCTGGGAACTGTGACTCTAGGTTTTGACATCTTCAGTTCCAGAAACCACTGTTTAAGAAAAACAGCGGATGAGGAGACAGCACAGATTCTAGACTCTAGATGAGTAAAACCTGCAGGGAACCAGAGAACCAGGGTCTGCACAGACTCACCTAAGTGCAGGGAACAGGAATAAGTAGAAGTGTGCTTGTGAGCTGTATTATGGAACCCAATGAACAAAACCCACTAGAGATCTACAAACAAACAGGAGCCACAAATCCCTTTCTCTCAGACACCCAAGGAATTTACTTACCTATCGCTTGAGCTAAGGCTATTACAACCTCCTGGCAAGTGGTGACTTCGGTGACCCCACAAACAATCCTCTGAACTCCATCCACCCATACTTTCAGTTCCATGGTGCACCAGCCAGTCAGTCACCCAAGGGCCCTGAGACTGGTCATCAGAGGTGTCAGGTCATGTCTCTGGCTATGGAAACATGGAGAAGGCAGGTCTGTGTAGTCAGCTAAAAAGAGGAAAAGACATTTTTAATAGAATGAATCTTAGTATTTCTTCTAGTAAGTAAATATTACACAAAACAAATTTTAATGTGTGATAATCCTACTACCATTAATGACCATGTGCTTACTTATTGCACAGAACTGAATTCAGCAGCATGCATGTAACCATAGCCACCTATCACAACACTGTTTCATATTACTATGATTCTTATCATTATAATTTTAATCATAAAATAAATTTTAATAATTGAGTAAATAAACAGATCTTATATACTCAATAAAGCCCCTCCTGTTCAACAGATAAGCTGTTTCTTTTTTAGTAAGTCACTGCATTAGAATAATTTCTGAGGTTAAAGAGAAATAAAGAGTTTCTGTCATTTTAGGAACTGTAAGTAACTGAACCAGTTCCTGCAGCCTCGGCAGCATTTGTAGAAGCATCACCTGACTCCACTGTCTCCTGTTCCGTGTGCCTCCCACCTCCTCCCTAAATGACGGTGAGTGTGTCCTCGCGACCAAAACTCCAGCACCGAGTGCAGCAGAAGGCTCAGGTCTACGGAACAGATTAGCTGAAGGAAATTATTTCCTTCGACGGCTGACAGCTTCCCCCTATATGTCCCTTTTCGTTTATTTCATTGGGATTTGATAACTTTCTTAAATTATAAGTTATTCTAATATTATAAAACTTAACCTTTTGTTATACTTGCTGTTTTCCCAGTGTTTGATTTTTTTGTTTAGCTGTATTATATGCCAAGCAGAAGTTTTTACATTCTCCTATAGTTAAACCAAATGCCTTGATTTCTTCTCTTAAGTAGAATGCTATTATTAGCCTTCTAAAAACCAATTACACACAACTCCTTTTCCTGGGAGTTTTGAAAATCTCAACTCTTCCTGCATTAAATCTTTAATCAACTTTGAGTTTTGTCCATCATCCTATGATTGTCCTATTTCTTTGTGGTTTCTTTTAAATGTAATAACACTGACTTAATTAGAGAGAATAGGAATTTGTAGGTTTACAACAGAACTGATGTTTTAAGATTAAAGACTTATTAAAAAGCTTATTTAAAAAACACTAAACATTTTTCTTGTAAAGTAGTATTTACTACAAACAGTAACTTAGTCCTTGTACATTCTCTTAAAAGACCTAAGACAATTCTAGGCCACATGGTCATCTGGGAAGATGAATCAGAACACACGTGAGCTGAAGGAGAATAAACCTAATAATACTCCTTCTTCCTCCAGAGAAGATACAAAAATAGTTTCTGCCGTCCTGAACACAAGGGGAAGGACGGACTGGATGTCAGTTTCCTGGCTCTCTCCACGGTGCCAAACAGAGAAAGCCCTGTGCCTGACAAGCCGATTCCTGTGCTGGGTCCTCAGCTGAAGTCCTGTGAGATGTGAAGTCTTCTGGGGAAAAGGGTTTCAAAACCAAAGGATAATGAGAAATCCAGTAAACAAAGTCAAACAAGTTTCTTAATATGCAGATTTCTCTGAGCTTTCCGCTTTCTTTAAATAGGCTGGTGTGCAATCTACACTTCAAATAAGAGGTTTATATGCTATTGTCCCCAATCCGTTTAGAGAACATTTAAGGAAAGGGAACAGGAGATATAACTTAACACTTGTTTCCTTCTCTGCTAGGCACTCTGCTAAAATTAGGATATGTATTAGTCTTTCTTGAAACAAAATTAAGATTAAAAGATGGTCAAACAACATATATTGTATTGAGTAAATATATTAAAATTAAATTAATTAAAATAAAATAGCTAAATTTTTAAAAACTCAGCTGCATTAAAATTTATTTAATACCTAGTCCCTTATTTGTTATTAAGAAAACTTAAACTTGGGAAACCTAACAAGAAAGATGGCAGATCTCATTAAAAGCCCCCCTTCCCACAAAGAAGCCTGTCATTTCAAAGAAACTTATGAGGCTCATTTTTAATTTCTATAAAGGTTTCAGTTACTACCACCTATTTTCCTACCTAAATGATCAGTTTCACCTTGAGTTTTTAATCAACTGAATACAAATGAACATAATACACAGGTACATCTGCTAAATATTAAATAGTAATGTGGTAAAATGCTGGGCGTAAATAATGCTTAGTTAATATAAATGTGGAGGGTATTTAACCACTTGCTCAGAGTATTCCTACCATAGATCATGGCAGAGAAAACCAGCTTCCGCGTTTTTAACATCACTGATCTCTTTCAAACTTGAATCCTTAAGGAGAGCAGGAAATGCCTAAATGGATCAGATGAATGAACCACATGGTCCAAAATTTTGTTTCTAGGAGGGCCACCTGTTTCCAGTACATGGATTCTGCCAAGTTTGGGGCTGTACTGACGACCATCTCTAGCTCCCCTGAACATCTGGGCATTATTCACAAGAGTCATTTGAAGAGTCTGTCTCCCTTCCCAGCAGATGCCTCCAGCACTCCCTTCTAGGAGCTGCCACCCTTTTCCTTCCTTCACACCCTCCAGAATCCAACCCCACAGTTCTCCTCCCAGCCTCAGGACTAGACTAGAGGGAAAAACGAAAGCCCTACACTGTAGGTGCATGCGATGGACTGGTCATCATCGGAACCAGGCTCAGGAAGCAAAAAGGCTTCGGAATGTCGTTGGCATTTGGAATAATTCTTTCCATGGAAACAGTAATGTAGGTAAAAGTAAGGTTCCACTGTAAAGGTATAAATACAGGTGAGTTAGTGTTTTCATTATGAGGTTCCTGTATTTCAAACCACTATTATTTTAATAATTTTGACAATGAAGAACTAGGTTTATTAAGTAACATGGTACCAGTGAGCAAGTGTTCTTGAGCTAAGAACCATTTATTATCTTAAAGGCCTACTGGAAGTAAGCATCTGCACTTGTGGAAACGTACTCCCCTGAAACCAGTGCTTTAATAAGCAATTAAAGTCATTCCTCCTTATCCGTGAATCCACTCACCTACTAAGATTTGTTTGTAACCCCCAAACCAACACTTGTGGCACATTCATAGTCACTTACAGACATGTATATATATTTCACAGCAGTGAAAAATTTGAGTTGCCTGACCCTTACGCCCTTCCCAGCTGAGGCTGGACAAAGTTGATGCTCTGCCTTCTTGTTTCTGCTTTCATACTGTCAACGAGTCCTTGCCTGTCTATTTACTTCTTTGTTTTGGCATTTTTAGGGTTCCTGTTGGTTATTTCACTGGTTGAAATGGCTCCCAAGCATTGTGCTGAAGTGCTGTCTGGTGTTCCTGAGTGCAAGAAAACTGTGATGTGTCTTGTGGAGAAAATATGTGTGTTACTTAAGTTTTGTTCAGGCACGAGTTACAGTGCTGTTGGCTGTGAGTTCGATACTAATGTATCAATAATATATATTAAATAAGGCATCTTGAAACAGGAAAACATATAAAACAAGGTGATTTATTAACCAGCTGACAAAACTGTTTTGACCAAAGGCTCTCGTGAGTAACATGGCTGCATATTTTCATGTACTATAACTTCCTGTGATGGCAAGCGTCAGGCTACTGAGTAAATTCCATTACTCCATGGACACTAGACACAAGTACAGAGGAGGCTCACTGCCAATTTTGACATTTCCTTCACTGCTAGTTTTTTTTATTTTAACTGATTTTGAAAGAGAGAGGAGAGACGAGGGAAACACCAATGTGGTGTTCCCCTTATTTGTGCATTCACTGGTTGCTTCCTGTATGCTTCCTGACAGGCAACTGAACCCACGGTCTTGGCATACCTAGTGGATGCTCTAACCAACTGCGTTATCCAGCCAGGATCCCTTCCTTGCTAGTTCTGCTCTAGATCTAAGGATACTACAAAAGCAGTATACAGGTAAACTGGGTTACAATAAAACCTTCACATTAGAGGTATCTACAATACTTTAATTAAATCAAATACGGATGCTAACCACTAGTTGTTTTGTTTTTTGTTTTGGCATAATAGAGAAGGAGATTCAGCACAATGAACATGCTATATTCTGAATGGTCATCATTAGAACTATTGATAATCAGACACCAAAATTCTTCTTTGTATAGAAAACTGGTACAAAAAATAAAAACTAAAGGGAGTTTCAGTTACCTCATCCTAAAACTAGTCTGATGTGTGAATTAAATAATGTTGAACAACTGTTTCCAACTAAAAAATATTGACATTTTAACATTCAAATGATTACTGAGGTAAGGAAAAAACACCTGTGGGCAGCTGCTGCCTGCGGAGACGGGAAAGGACCCAGAGATGAAAGAACCACCTGGAGGACCTGGTAGGATAAAGCCCAACTCGGCAGGCAGAGAGCGAGTGAGTGAAAACACATCAGGTAGGGAGGGATGGGGTAAGAAAACAGTTTTCTGGAAGACTGCCCCAGAATCCAGTTCCAGGTTACCTGCCCCTGAACACTCTGGGTCTGTATTTTGGAAACAGATAAACATAAGTTGCTTTTAGCAAACTCATTATTTTGCTATAATGCAGTTCTGCAAATGGTGTCACAGAAAGCAAGCTGTTATAAAAAGGTACACAATGTTAAAAGTGAGTGCTAAGGTAGGTGATCTTAGTAATATAAATAAGTGCTTCCCCAAATAAATTTTTGACAACAGAAGTCCTATGAGATGCGCCATGGGGAAATAAAGTTCTAAGCCCAACAATTTGGGGAAACTTTCATGACACTGTCTCTGGGAGACGATGCATAGCAAGGTCAAGGTTCTGATACCCTATAGTAGAGAAACTGGATGAGCTTGGCTGAACTTACAGTGATTAGCACAGAGGTGGGGTGTGAAAAGGGGGCACAATGCCTATGAAATGTCTTGCTGAACTACAGGACACAAATGACCAACTTTTGGAAAATATACCTATACAGTGGTATCTCAGTACTCATTGTTAATTCGTTCCTGAACTCATGACGAGTGCTGAAACCTACGAGTACCAAATGATGAATCATTTCTCCTGCAGGGAGGCATCGTGACTTATAGGGATTGTAGCCAGTGTGGCTAGCCCCGAGCAAGTGCGAGTGCGGAAAC